AAAAAATCATTTAAGTGGGTCCTGCTCTGATTCATTACCTTTCATTTGAGCTATGTCCGATTTCGAATTTAGCCGAAAGGAGTTGGCGAGACTTGCCGAAAGAATGTACGGTGGACACGTAAAAAAAAAATACTAACTTTGAACCCCTTCAATTCTTAGAAGGTCCTAACCCCCAAAAAATCATTTAAGTGGGTCCTGCTCTGATTCCTTACCTTTCATTTGAGCTATGTCCGATGTCGAACTTTGCCGTACGGAGCTGGCGAGACTTGCCGAAAGAATGTACGGTGGACACGTAAAAAAAAAAAAAAACAATTTTGAACCCCTTCAATTCCCAGAAGGTCCTAACCCCCAAAAAATCATTTAAGTGGGTCCTGCTCTGATTCATTACTTTTCATTTGAGCTATGTCCGATTTCGAATTTAGCCGTACGGAGCTGGCGAGACTTGCCGAAAGAATGTACGGTGGACACGTAAAAAAAAAAATACTAACTTTGAACCCCTTCAATTCTTAGAAGGTCCTAACCCCCAAAAAATCATTTAAGTGGGTCCTGCTCTGATTCATTACCTTTCATTTGAGCTATGTCCGATGTCGAACTTTGCCGTACGGAGCTGGCGAGACTTGCCGAAAGAATGTACGGTGGACACGTAAAAAAAAAAAAAACCAATTTTGAACCCCTTCAATTCCCAGAAGGTCCTAACCCCCAAAAAATCATTTAAGTGGGTCCTGCTCTGATTCATTACCTTTCATTTGAGCTATGTCCGGTGTCGAACTTTGCCGTACGGAGCTGGCGAGACTTGCCGAAAGAATGTACGGTGGACACGTAAAAAAAAAAGAATACCAACTTTGAACCCCTTCAATTCTTAGAAGGTCCTAACCCCCAAAAAATCATTTAAGTGGGTCCTGCTCTGATTCATTACCTTTCATTTGAGCTTTGTCCGATGTCGAACTTTGCCGTACGGAGCTGGCGAGACTTGCCGAAAGAATGTACGGTGGACACGTAAAAAAAAAAAAAAACAATTTTGAACCCCTTCAATTCCCAGAAGGTCCTAACCCCCAAAAAATCATTTAAGTGGGTCCTGCTCTGATTCATTACCTTTCATTTGAGCTATGTCCGGTGTCGAACTTTGCCGTACGGAGCTGGCGAGACTTGCCGAAAGAATGTACGGTGGACACGTAAAAAAAAAAGAATACCAACTTTGAACCCCTTCAATTTCCAGAAGGTCCTAACCCCCAAAAAATCATTTAAGTGGGTCCTGCTCTGATTCATTACCTTTCATTTGAGCTATGTCCGATTTCGAATTTAGCCGAACGGAGCTGGCGAGACTTGCAGAAAGAATGTACGGTGGACACGTAAAAAAAAAAATACTAACTTTGAACCCTTTCAATTCTTAGAAGGTCCTAACCCCCAAAAAATCATTTAAGTGGGTCCTGCTCTGATTCATTACCTTTCATTTGAGCTATGTCCGATGTCGAACTTTGCCGTACGGAGCTGGCGAGACTTGCCGAAAGAATGTACGGTGGACACGTAAAAAAAAAAAACAATTTTGAACCCCTTCAATTCCCAGAAGGTCCTAACCCCCAAAAAATCATTTAAGTGGGTCCTGCTCTGATTCATTACCTTTCATTTGAGCTATGTCCGGTGTCGCACTTTGCAAAGTTATGACCTTCTGGGAATTGAAGGGGTACATTCTTTCGGCAAGTCTTGCCAGCTCCGTACGGCAAAGTTCGACATCGGACATAGCTCAAATGAAAGGTAATGAATCAGAGCAGGACCCACTTAAATGATTTTTTGGGGATTAGGACCTTCTGGGAATTGAAGGGGTTCAAAGTTGGTATTCTTTTTTTTTTTACGTGTCCACCGTACATTCTTTCGGCAAATCTCGCCAGCTCCGTACGGCAAAGTTCGACACCGGACATAGCTCAAATGAAAGGTAATGAATCAGAGCAGGACCCACTTAAATGATTTTTTGGGGGTTAGGACCTTCTAGGAATTGAAGGGATTCAAAATTGGTATTATTTTTTTTTTTTACGTGTGCACCGTACATTCTTTCGGCAAGTCTCGCCAGCTCCGTACGGCAAAGTTCGACACTGGACATAGCTCAAATGAAAGGTAAGGAATCAGAGCAGGACCCACTTAAATGATTTTTTGGGGGTTAGGACCTTCTGGGAATTGAAGGGGTTCAAAGTTGGTATTATTTTTTTTTTACGTGTCCACCGTACATTCTTTCGGCAAGTCTCGCCAGCTCTGTACGGCAAAGTTCGACACCGGACATAGCTCAAATGAAAGGTAATGAATCAGAGCAGGACCCACTTAAATGATTTTTTGGGGGTTAGGACCTTCTAGGAATTGAAGGGATTCAAAATTGGTATTATTTTTTTTTTTACGTGTGCACCGTACATTCTTTCGGCAAGTCTCGCCAGCTCCGTACGGCAAAATTCGACACCGGACATAGCTCAAATGAAAGGTAATGAATCAGAGCAGGACCCACTTAAATGATTTTTTGGGGGTTAGGACCTTCTGGGAATTGAAGGGGTTCAAAGTTGACATTCAAAGTGTACGGGGTTTTTTTAAACAAAAAAATCTTTACATTTCTTTTAAGTAAGGATGCATGCCGTACAAAATAGTGCACGTATACTTTCAATTCAAAATATTGTTTGTGGGCATGAAATGTACTCTTACAGTTTGTTATTTTGTATGTTTTCAATTTCAGCATAGGGAATAGACATTAAAAATTCCTTTTCTAGAAAATAAAGGATATTTGAGGATGCCGAGTGTATGGAAAGCCAGTATATAGTTATTCTTTCGCACATAATATTTTTCTTATTTCGTTTATTTGAAAGCTGATACATTGTACAAAGGAACAAGTTTAAGTGAACTCACATTACATAATTATTCTATGCTCCGCCTACGACAGTAAAGCCAATAATATTATCTGTTTTTTTTTTGTTCGTTCGTTCGTTAATTCGTTTGTCCGTTTGTCCGTCCATTCATACTGCATTAGAATGACGTTAGTGTTGAATCTTATCTAAGATGACGTTGTAGTCAGATCAACTTGAAACTAGGTACACATGTTCATTAAAATATGTACTTTTTAAATTATTTACGGTTCATTGAATATTGAACACGATTGTGCGAGCAAATCATCATAAACAAACACTCTTGTTTTTTTTTATTATTCAAATTCTAAAAACTCTTTAGCTTTTTATTCTGATTTCTAAACCGCAAAGTGCTATTGTATAGCCATTATGTGCTTGGGGGATATACGCTCCGTTTTTAATATTTTGTTTACAATAATTGATTTATCTTTGCGATCTCGGTTTAGAGTTTGGAAAACAGAGAAATCGTAAAGAAGACGTTAAGATATGGATTACTTTATTTCCCAACTAGTCCCTCTCCCAATAGAATAAACTCCGGAGAGGGCGCACCTTTATTTGTATAAATACATATATGATAACATATAGTATGTGTTCGAATGTAGGGGAATAAAAATAGTTCGTTAACAAAGAATGTTCCTTAGTTTTTTGTGTGTTTTTCGCTGTGCATTTACTGATTTTGTGTCATGGAGGGATACCCCATATCCTTTGTTTTTCTATTGTATTAAATTGTTTTGACTTTACGATTTTCTGGCATGTTGTATTTTACTCATTGATATTGATGCAGACATTTAGCAACCAAACTAGTCAGTGCATTCAGCTACAGACGTCATTCGTATTGTAGTGTCCCTTCTCCCTTAATTTGATGGACATTTCTGATCATTTAAACGTTAACAAACAATATATATACCGTACTGGTAGATAGATTTTCTTTTTAACAGAACGTTGTTTCATAATGTGGTTTTGTGGTTTTCTCATATACCACATAAAGATTCTTAGACAAGTTGATTCTCATTGTGTTCTTTAGTGGTCGCTAGAATTGGTCGCTAGCTTGATTGGTCGCTAGAATTGGTCGCTAGCTTGAGTCTGGTTAAATTTACTGGGGAATATATAATGTGTAAGGGGTACATTTGATTGCAGTTTCCTGCGTCCAAAAGAATGTCTCTTTGATGAAGAAACATGGAGTATGTTAGAATGTTTGCATGGAAGAATTACAATGACCTACATTTTATGTAGGACATGCATGTTTCCTTAGATACCGTTATCTTGATTGGCTGACAACAATCGTGAGCGGGCATTTCAATATACAATTTTATTTCCGTATAAAATACAACAATGTTTTAAACCCTTAACAATCTTCACGTATGTAACATGGGATGATAAATATGCATCCAGAAAAAAAATCGGTTGTTCCGATGATAACAAGTCAGACTGGTCACAATTCAACTTCATTGACTTCGTTGAACTTTGTTTTAGTCTATTTTTCAAATACTGTGTTATTTACAATCATGTAACTTAGGACTTTAGATGCAAAAGTAGGTTGTATCTCCCTAAATTACACTTATCATTGTCTTTTTAGTTTAATATCATTGTTCAGTTTCTGGTTAATAACTGTAATAACAATTGTACTAACATGAGCAACACGACGGGTGCCACGTGTGAAGCAGACTCTACTTACCCTTCCGAAGCACCGAGATCACCCGGTTTTAGGTTGGGTTCGTGTTGCTCAGTCTTTAGTTTACCGTGTTGTGTTTTGTGAACTGTTGTTTGTGTTTTGGTCGTTTTTCGTTTTTGCCATGACATTGTCAGTTCGACTTACGAGTTATGACTATAACTTTGGTATCTTCCACCTCTCTTTTGCATGGGAATGCACTAGATATTCAATATGCTCATCTGCAATAAGTCTCTCATTAAAGTCTTCTTTAGTAGTCTTAAATGTATACCTCATTTGTTATATACGAAGCAAAATTAAGATATGAATTATATACTAACACTCATCGATAACCGCGACTGACTGTTAATGCTACGGTACTAGCTATTACTATAAAAAATTTCACAGTTTGATCATTATAGTATAAACCGTTGTCATGATAAGAATTTTAAATGCACTTGTAACATTCTTTTCAGGAATATCAGAAGTGATAGTGTGCGATGATGCTACGTTACTTTGTGTTGGTGACGAGACAATCAAGATAGATCGTGCTACATTTGGTCGGGATAAGAAATCCCAATGTTTTGACGATGAATATATATCTACATGTAGTAGTGATTCTCCTTTTGATATTATAAGCGACAATTGTAATGACGAGACCAATTGTAGCGTTGAGTCCTCCGTTGAATTGTATGGAGATCCATGTAACGGATTAGACAAAGACTTAAAGATAAACTATCACTGTGAAGGTAATATTAATAATTATCTCCCAATTGAATTAATTGATTTTTTTTTATCTTTTTTTATCGAATGTATTGTAGAGAAGATATCACAAGGTCGCAGTTCATCAAAAGTGTTACATACAAAGACTCAGCTAGGACAGACTTGTAAATATGCAAATGTGCGTTTGACGTCAAACTGTTTCTAGTTTATTAAAACAGTGCTGATGTATATAGTTTTAGAAACTTTTACAATAAACTTTTACTGCTCGAAATCCCACTTCCACCTCCCCGTGGTGAGCAGGGGGCAGACGGCAGACGGCAGACAGAAAGAGTTTTTTTGTTATTATATCAATAAACTCGGTTCAACTTATATGTACGCATTGGCGCCAATAAAAAAAGAAACATTATTGGCGCAAATGAAAAAAAAAATTGCGCAAAAAAAAAGTGCAGATTTGCTCAAATGCAAAACGCCGATTTTACGTTAAGGCTGTTCGAGGCCGTTTTAATTAAATATCTTCATTTATGAGATAAAAAAGCCAAACTTTGTATGATTCTTTTATTTTTTGTCCTAAATTACTTTTCTCCTTGACAACCAATCAGCCTGTGTATATAAGGGCATACACATATTAAATGGCAATGATAAAACTGTCAGTGAAAATATTATTTCCAATAAAGGACGGCAATGATGCTTTGTTTATATAAACAATTTTCAGACGCTCTCATGGCAGTAAGTCATCTTTTCAATGGCTATTTTTTTCTTGGTGATATCTTCTCTACAATACATTCGATACTTTTCACTATTTAAGTCCATTTTTTCTTTTCATGTTTTCTTACGGCTGCTGGCATGTCGAGTGATCTGATTTTTACCGTTTTTGTCTCGCCTTGACGGAGTCAAAAAGCGAGACATAGGTATGCTGTTTCCGGCGTCAGCGGCGGCGACGGCGACGGCGGCGTCAACAATGTATTGGTTTGTGATTAGGTCTAGTTCATGGTGAACCACTAGTGGTAGGTCAATGATATTTGGTATGCAGTTGTATTAGCATTGGCACATCTCATTACCATGGAGATTATTTGGCCCCCACCCCCTCAGTCAAGGTCTATTGACTTTGAAACTTTTCATGGTTTACATGTATTAGTTTGTGATTAGGTCAATTTATGGGGAACCACTAGTGGTAGGTCAATGATATTTGGTATGCAGTTGTATTAGCATTGGCACATCTCATTACCATGGAGATTATTTGGCCCCCACCCCCTCAGTCAAGGTCTATTGACTTTGAAACTTTTCATAGTTTACATGTATTAGTTTGTGATAAGGTCAATTTATGGGGAACCACTAGTGGTAGGTCAATGATATTTGGTATGCAGTTGTATAAGCATTGGCATATCTCATTACCATGGAGATTATTTGGCCCACCCCCTCAGTGAAGGTCTATTGATTTTGAAACTTTTCATAGTTTACATGTATTATTTTGTGACTAGGTCAATTTATGGGAAACCACTAGTGGTAGGTCAATGATATTTGGTATGCAGTTGTATAAGCATTGGCATATCTCATTTCCATGGAGATTATTTGGCTCCGCCCCCTTAGTCATGGTCTATAGACTTTGAAAATTTTGCTAAGTTAACATGTATTAGTTTGTGATTAGGTCAGTTCAAGGGGAACCATTAGTGGTAGGCCAATGTTAATTGGTGTTCAGTTGTATAAGCATTAGCACATCTCATTTACATGGAGAATATTTGGCCCCGCCCCCTCAGTCATGGTCCATTGACTTTGAAACTTTTGCTTAGTTTACATGTATTAGTTTGTGATTAGATCAGTTTAAGATGAACTACTAATGTTAAGTCAATGATCTTTGCATTTGCAAGTATCGTTTCCATGGAGATTATATAGCCCCACCCCTGGTCATGGTTCATTGACTTTGAAACTCTTACAAAGTTTACAAGTTAATGTTTGTGTTTAGGTTTGTTTAAAAGGAACGACTTATAATAAGTCAATGGTATTTGGTATGCAGTTGTATTAGCATTGGCACATCTCATTCCATGGAGATTGTTTAGACATGTACCTTCAGTCATGGTTCATCGACTTTGAATATTTGCATAACTTACATGTTAAAGTATTGCTATTTTAATTTCAACATTTGCATTATCAAAATTACAAAAAGTCGAGACATATCTCTGTGATAACAGTTTATTTACATTAGTTATTGCCTGGATTTTCTTTATGACATCCATAAAAATGTAAATGTTCGGGTGGTGTGAGTAAAAATGTTCACTGTAGTGCGAGTGAAACAATTCAGCGCCGTTGTTGATTCTTTTAAAGTTTTTAACACCGCTGCTCCCCTTAAGTGGGGCGGATAACGCGAAACAGGAGACACGGAGATAATTAGTACATAATCTGCAAACTCAACACACTTTTCATCGGTTTGTACCTCAGACATTATGTCCAAAGCAACATTATGTCCTCCGCAAGGCAATCACCTACTTCATCTGAGGGAAGCCATTGAAGCATTGAACATACTTACCTGCTACGTTGGGTTAGCCTAAGTAACGGTAACTATCTAAAATGTATCAGATGTTACCTGTCGAATTTAAATGGTCGAAAATGAAGAATTAATGATTCGGGCAAATGGTAACTTTGTGGTGCAAATTAAAAAAATATATTTTTAAAATTGGCGCAAATGTCATTCGCCCTGTAAAATTCATACCCGACCAACACCTTAACGACCATCTTGTTTATCAAAATACTATTGCATACTTTTTATAAAATCAATCTTTTATCTTTCCGGCCTTAGATTGTTCATAATGGAATTATAATCAAAGTACTGAAGTACTGAACATCGGATGACCACATGTTCTTCAGGATGGTCAAAAGCACTTGTCTCAGAAAAAAAACAACATATTTCTTTACCTGAAACTGAGGTTAATGTACAGAGATATATTTTTTTCTAGACAAGTTCGTGCGAGGATGATGAATAAATGACAGGAAATTCAACTTTACCGTAATAACTATTATATTTTAGTGATACAAATCAGTATACACTGATTTGTTGTTATATATTATATTAAAATAACAGTTACATATATATATGATTTGCATCCGTTTGTATATCATTCTATTCTACTATTCTAATAATAGTGCAATGCAAGTGCATGGTGGACACTTTTCTGTAAAAATTCGATTTTTCTAAGATTGGATACGAGTAGGCATTCATATTTTCCCGCAAAAACAATTACAGAGTTACCGGTCCTGTCGCAAAACGTTCTTTGAGATATTCCTCCGCATGCTTTAACACAATTTTTCGGTACGTGTGCATTGATATTATCAATGATTTTTTACTTATATATATATATATATCTAACTACAAAACATTTTCACATTATTAATTTATGTTGTAAACCAAAAATATTTTTATCAGTATTCATTGAAGAAATGTATTTATATCATTTGACAAGGAATGTTATTTTGCACTCGTTTATGTGCGCATATTTATCATGTTTATAGATCGGTTACAAACCCAAAACTAATTTACATAATGGAAATCTAGGCGATAGCAATACATCGGAATGACCTCAAGGTCATCGCGATGTAAAAATGTATCTTCAAGATCCAAAATTATTCACACTAACCCTATTATTTGTTATGTGACTACTTAAGATACGTTATATCCATTAGCTCAAGGATTTGTAAAGTGATCAAATCCTTCATTTAATAGCTCCATCCTTAAATTTATGTGTGAATAAGTATATAACATAGCTAACATTTTAGGGTCACAATTACCTTTTAGTGACGATTAAACAGACTAAACTATCCCAATATACAATTATACAATTTTAACCATTCTCACCGTCTATATACAGAGGTATACTAAAGGAATGACTGTAATATTTTTTCTGTCTATGAAGAAATAACATAAAAAATGTGGTGCACACTGAATAACCCGCTACGCGGGTTATTTTAAAGTGTGCACCACATTTTTTATGTTATTTCGAATAGACAGAAAAAATATTACAGTCATTTCTTATAATTTAATTCTAAATTCCATTTTAAACCGGAGTAAACCATGAAAAAACGTTGATGACGTCACGATCACATGACAAAATCATGTCTATGAGCTGATAAACAAAACAACGTCAGCCAATCAGAAGACGCGTTACATCCAAAATTAAATTATATTTAAATATTATTTCATTGGAACGAGCTGTCCGACTGGCAAGAAGATAGCAACTTATTCCATTCAAATATTTTACAGCTCATAAAAATTTATTGCAGTGTTCTAGAACGGTAAAAAGATCTCAATTTCCGACGCGTATTATGACGCAATTTCCGATTGTGAGGTTTTGTATGCTTTCGGGTGACAATTCACTATTTAGCTAGACCTCGAAAGAAGTTCTAAAATAATCCAGGTGCTAGTCATTTGTATGAGATCAATTCACCAAGCATCTTATTGTCCATACTCTCTCAATTCGCAATGAATGATAAAAACGAAATAGCGACTGCTTACCGAACATAAAGATCTTGTGTTTGAACGTGGGACTCGTCAAATTAGTACGCATGAAAAATTGAAGATACGCTATCTGTAATGTAGTCACGAAACTCAACTATTTTTTTTTTTTATTTGGTAATGAATCGATAGAAAAAAAAAGTTGTTTTTATTGTAAAATACATACGATGAGCATCATGGCACTACTTTTCAAAATTCGTATATTTAACATTAAATTAACGGGAGGCTTATGCAGTGGTGTGCCTCCTCCATGAATCAAATCGATGAAACCCGATAATCCTGTTTTTTTCCTTCGGTCTTCTTCCAAGGGACTTAAAGTAATCGCTTTATTTTTTTCACGATTTTGTTCAAACCCTCTCAATAATTGGATTGCTGCATTATTTATTGTTTCGTTAATATTTTCCTGTAGAGGTCTTTATTTATTGTATTATACAGGAACCTCATTTTTTGGTAAATCCTGGAGAGATAGTGTGCTCCACTGCAATGGATTTGGTCATACTCTCAGGTTAAACTGCAGACATGCATCGGAGTTTAACGGCTTATACTGGGTTGAAGCATTCAGAGGAATAGTTCCAACATCTGGTAAAATCGTTGCATTTCAAATTGTAAAAAAAAATCATTAACATTATGTTTGTGCTATACATCTACTTCACTGGTAAGACAATGTTACGTAAACGTAAGTTAGTTTGTGAAACACTGGAATTAATGTTTTCTTCAAATCGGTAAAATTTCAGAATTTGCAAAACACTGTCATCAAAATTTTAATTCAAAATTTGATATTTACGGAAATTACAAAGCATTTCTATGCACCTTGCAAGGAATTTTCAATTATCATGCAATTAAATTATTGTCGAAGCAAAATAAGTCGCGGTGAATATTCTATATACAATTAGATTTCTACATTTTCAAAGATTTGTACTCCGCTGACCTTGAACACTTTACAATGTAATGCTGTATTTTCCTTCGTTATTTATTAGTAGTATGTAGGTCGGAACTGAAAAGGCATAACTATGAACTTGCAGATATTTATATTACACTTTTTTTAAGAATTCAAAAATTTACCTGGACTAGAAATTGCGAAAGCAGCCAAATGCAAAATGAATAAACAAAATGATGACATACCATATTCTTGTGAAGTGACCAATGATTTTACTGAACTGCCATTTACTTGTTACTTTGAAGGTATGTTGAATCTAGTTCAGCTAATTTTAAATGTATAAAACAATATTATTTATCAAGTATTCAAATTAAATCATGAAAGCTTTAGTAGACTTGGCCGAATCAAAATTTGAAAGAAGTATATAACTACCATCCACTATTAGTAGGTCACCTTGAGTTTTATTTCTCTTTTTATGAAGTGGAATAGTTTCACGTCGGAGCTCAGTTTTTATTGTCTCGACTGCGATGAAAGTCGCAGAGTGCAAGACATAGGCATTACTATCCGGCGACGGCGAAAGCGGCGTAAACTGTTTGTATTAAGCTTTATATTTCAGAAGGTAAAATACCTGGAGACTTTACACCTTGTATACATATGCCTTATGTTACAAAGTTTCCGTCTGTCATATGTCCATTGTCCTTGACCTAATTTTAATAGTCAACGACTGCTTGAAAAAAAAGTTGTTTTTTTGTCATGTGAATTTCTCACTCATTTTGAGAAATAGGATAACTATATTTGGTATACTGGTTGCAATGTCTACATGTTCGTCAGACAGGTTTCATCTGACATTTCATGTATCTGTGATCAAGGTTACAGTTAAGTGATTAGGTCCGTTTCTCAGATACTGTAAGCAGTAGGTCAACTACATTTGGTGTATAGAATAATTGTAAGGTGTGCATGTCAGTCAGGCAGGTTTCATCTGACCTTGACCTCATTTTTACGGTTCTTTGGTTAAATGTTAAGTTACAGTAGTTAGATCCTCTTCTAAGATACTAGTACTATAAGCTATAATAGGTCAACTATATTTGGTTCATTAGTCAATGTTAAGTTTTCCTGGTTAGGTCTGTTTCTAAGATCTAAAAGCAATAGGTCAACTGCATTTGGTGTATGAAATAATTGTAAGGTGTACATCTATTTCTGGTTTGGTTTATCTGACTTAGACCTAATTTTCTTGGATAATGTTAAGATTTTTGAAGTAAAATGTTATATGTAGGACTATCAACATAAAATCAATTGTCAGTAAAGCAGGTAAGACATTTCAGCGTGTGCACTCTTGTTTTTAAATTACTTACAATCATATAATTTAATATATAAGGCAATATATAATCGCCTAGCAGAACAGGGTAGTAGAGCGCTAGCTGCATTGTTAAACACACCACTAAGATCTACTTTTGCACCAGAACAACCATGTGCTATGTTTGACAGTCTACAGGCGGAAACCCAGTTGAAATTAAATAAAAGAAATGGAACTCTTTGTTAGAGAAGGTAAAAAAGGCGAAGTTGGTAAATTTGAATTGTTTACATCTGTGTTTCTATGGGCTTTAAAAGTTTAATGAATGTGTCTAATTTAGGATTTTATGCATCTTATGTATGTGTTTTTACTTAAATTATTGAATTGAGCTTCGAGATATTGGTAAAATTTTAAATTATTATAGACATATTTTCACAAAACAGTCGATTGTGGTAGGTTCAAATTCAAGTGGATCTTTTTAGTGCATAAGCATCAATTCCGCCGAAATTTTTGTGTGTGTTATCTAGGGTAATTAGTCTTCAACCTCTGAAAATATTTAGTCTGCCCTCCCACGAAATATTTAATTAGAATTTTTTTAAATGTTTTTGAACTTGCGAAAATTCCCCCAGACAACCGAAGTACATTAAATGATGCTCAATAGCTATAAGATACATTTGTCTTCTAAAATATAACAGGCATGTAAGGATCCTAATGATACTGTGTGGATAAATTTATCGGTTTTCCAAGAGCTAAATTGACAGCGCGTCATCCCTACAATGGCTTCCATTTTTAAAAAATTAGGTGGTGGAATGGGGAGATAATTTTGACGAAGTGGAATCCTGACTGTCTAGTTATGTCTTTTTTAAACTACGCCTCAGAAGTAATGGGTTTTCATCGTGCAAAAGAAATATAATCTATACATAATACATTTTTTAGATTTGTTTTAAGATACATAAAAACTACGCCTGTCTGTTGTATCATTTATGGAGCAGGATCTGCTTACCCTTCCGGAGCACCTGAGATCACCCCCAGTTTTTGGTGGGGTTCGTGTTGCTTAGTCTGTGGTTTTCTATGTTGTGTCATCTGTACTATTATTTGTCTGTTTGTCTTTTTATTTTTTGGCCATGGCGTTGTCAGCTTGTTTTCGATCTATGAGTTTGACTGTCCCTCTGGTATCTTTCGTCCCCCTTTTACCTATGCATATTACTAGGAAACAAAAGTTGTTGAAATACTGGGTTAATATTATAACTAAGAAACCAAATACTAGTATTGCATATGAAATGTATCAAGTTCTAGATTCTGACTGTAATAATGGTAAAGAAAATTGGGCCACAGATAGTCACAATTTACTTTTTCAACTGGGATTTAATTATTTATGGCATGAACAAGTCAGAGAATGTTGATAGAAACTTTGATATTTTAAATGATCGTCTCTTAGATCAATTTTACCAGAGCTTGCGTGCATCTGTAGAGAGCTCTGAAAAACTAATATTGTATAAAATGATAACAACAGATTTTAAGATGGAACAATATATATTGAAAGATATCAATGTTAAAAGTTTGTCTTTTTGAAGATTTGGTGTATCAAAATGATATATGGAGACTGGTCGTTATATAAATCAACGAAGGGAGGATATAATTTGTAAATGTTGTACTATGCAATGTATAGAGAATGAATATTATTTTATAATGGTTTGTCAACAGACAGAGTCGGGGGTTTTTATGAATCTTTATGTCCGTCACACTTTTGGGATTAACTAGATCTTAAAATGAAATATTTTGGACCACTAAAGACATATTAATTTCGATTTTCGTAGTTTTCACTTTTCACTTTCACAAGTAATAATTAATGGATAACCCGTTTTTTGTCGAGCCTGCGACTTTTGTCGCAGAAAGCTCGACATAGGGATAGCGATCCGGCGGCGGCGGCGGCGGCGGCTACGGCGGCGGCGGCGTTAGCTAACTTCTTAAAAGCTTTATATTTTAGAAGATGGAAGACCTGGATGCTTCATACTTTGTATAT